TAGTATATATATATATATATATATATATATATATTCTTATTAATCCGGATAGTATTCAACAGGCACAATGAATTAGATTGTGTACGGAATTGCGTTGTTCTATGTTTATTTGGATATATTTTACAGACATTACACTACGGCATATGATATATAGATATCACGTGGCTGTTTGTAATCTACAACCTTACAATCATCCTCGTTCACGTGTTCATGCTATTTAAACCAGACCTTTTCCTATGCGTGGCTTTATCCGACTGCTGGGTTGACTCTATGTGTCTGTCACAGCCTACCTACATTCTATATAGAGAACTTCCGAGTGTACCCCGTTCTACGGCTCGTTCTGTTCGGTACTTGTGCCTATACTTCTGTGCTTCATACGCGTCGCTCTGCCCATACTATATCTGTGCCGCCCAATGTACACGTGTGACTTGCCTGGTGTGTCTGTTGTTTCTTATTTGTCTGATGTGTCTGATATAGCTGGTATGTCTGATATTTCCTATTTGTCTGGTGTGTCTGGTTCAACTGTTGTAGAGCATACTTGACTGACTAGTGTCACGTGTGTGGCGTACATCTGCCTATGAGTGTATGCAACTGCCATACGTCCGCGTATGAGCGTACCACACAACCATACCTCTGTCTACTAACCCCCTCTAACCCCCTCGTCCTGGTATACCTTACCCGTACATCGTGTGTGTGTGTGTACTACCTCTGCTACTGTATGATATACACAGGAGACAACCAACGCTTTGTGGCCGAGGGACATGATGTGTTCAGTGATGTGGATGTGCCACATATCATCGAAGCAGACCTCGCACGCCAGAACGAGGCCAGTCGGGTCAGCGAGGAGAAGAAACGTATGTGCTTGCCCTCCCCCTGCTTATTGCCCAGTATGTATATATATATATATATAACTTGCCATCCCGCTTTCACACGTTCTGGTGTCAAGCATCCCACATTGCACTTGCACTTGCACTGGTAAGATGTAGGTATGCGGACCGATCTTACTGCATCTAGATACACGTGTACATATACCCTGTTGAGTTGCTATAGCAACCGTCACAGATCCTTTGATAACCGGGTACTCTGAGAACCCTAGAACCCTACATCGAGAACAAGAGGTCGAGCATAACTACAGACCCGTGGGTGAGAGTACACAGAGTCCGTGTGAATTGCCACATCTAAATACTCGTGTGCATATAATTGAGTTGCCATGGCAACCGTCACATCTCTCATCATATCTGTGTGGGTATATCGAGACCTTCCAAGCCGCACAAAATAACTTACCGCGGGCGATTATAACACCCACACGCAGGCGAGGCGGAGGAAGCCAAATCGGTGTATGTGAACTTTGAAGTGGAGAACGGCTTCGCATCGGTTGGTGAGACTTACTATGTGGTGGGTAGTTCACCGGTACTTGGTGATTGGAACCTTGCGCATGGAGTGGAAATGAAGTGTGTGGAGTATCCCAAGTGGGTGGCTGAGGGTATCAGGTGTGTGTAGGGGTGCACGACAGCTGCTACACTGATATGCGGGTGCACTGGGTCTTTGTGCATATAGTGCTATGTGTTTTTATGCATGTAATGTTGCAATGTTGTGTATATGTTTGTGCACTATATATGGGTCCTTTCACATACAATGATTTGTATATGTCTGTTTAGTATATACTTCGTCTGTATTCAATATATATACACATATATATATATATATATATATATAAAAGTCTATATAGATGTGTTCCACTGCACGTGTGTGCGGCAGTATCGTGGTGGTGGGTGGTAGAAATCTTTTTGGTGACTCTGAAGTCTGAAGTATGCCTAAGCACCTGACATGGGGGACTAAGTGTGTGTGGATGTATAATCATATTCATTACTAAGTGTGTGTGGATGTATAACCATCCTTAATATTAAGTGTGTGTAGATGTATAATCATATTCATTACAAAGTGTGTGTGGATGTATAACCATATTCATTACTACGTGTGTGTGGATGTAGAACCATACTCATTACAAAGTGTGTGTGGATGTATAATTATATTCATTACTAAGTGTGTGTGGATGTATAATCATATTCATTACTAAGTGTGTGTGGATGTATAACCATACTTAATATTAAGTGTGTGTGGATGTATATTCATATTCATTACTATGTGTGTGTGGATGTATAACCATATCCATTACTAAGTGTGTGTGGATGTACTACCATATTCATTACTAAGTGTGTGTGGGATGTATAACCGTATTCATTACTAAGTCTGTGTGGATGTATAGCCGTATTCATTACTAGTTTGGATGTATAACTGTATTCATTACTAAGTGTGTGTGGATGTATAACCATACCCATTACTAAGTGTGTGTGGACGTATAACCATATTCATTACTAAGTGTGTGTGGATGTATGACCGTATTCATTACTAAGTGTGTGTGCATGTATAACCATATTCATTACTAAGTGTGTGTGGATGTATGACCGTATTCATTACTAAGTGTGTGTGGATGTATAACCATATTTGTTACTATCAAAATTGGTTGATGTATGACCTCCATAGTATCTACACAATCGAATATAAACACCTGCATATGCCGCCTGGCTTGTTAGGGTTTTAGGTTTTATCCTTGCTCGTTAGGGTTTTAGGTTTTATCCTTGCTCGTTAGGGTTTTGGTTTTATCCTTGCTCGCTAGGGTTTCAGGGTTTATCCTTCCTCGTCAAAGCTCTAAGGTTTATCCTGCCTTGCTCGTCTCTGCAGATTCTATGACGTGTGGGATCAGACCATCCAGTGGAAGGCAGTACGCGCCAACAGTCGACACGACGCACAGGCGCACTACCAGCCAGGCTTTGACAACCAAATCACCATCACCGACCGCTCACTGACATCCACGTATGTGGGCCCCAAACACCCCCACGCACTCCTCGCTGGCTTGGTTCGGTCGGGGTTCATTTGTACCTGTGTGTCTGTGGGTGGGTAGTATATATATATATATATATATGTGTGTGTGTGTGTGTTCGCCAATCAACGTAAGCAGTACGGCATTGACTCAAGTGCTAACTAGGGATTAAGTATCTCCGGGGTGGTCGGTCTGTACATCTATTGCTATGAATATTATCTGTGCTACAAAGATAGTGCAGTAATACATAGAAGGGTTCTGTGTTGCTGGGGTGCTAATGCGATGTCTATTCTTTAAAATCCCTCAGATGCGATCTCGGGCCCATCCTGTTGAAGGAAATCGATCACTTGCGCGAGCAAGTATCAAATATGGAGAAGTTCGGTACCCCACAACGATGTGTGGTGTGCAAACACAATCCACGGGAGAGCATCACCACTAATACGTCAGGAGTAGAGTAACTCAAATAGGAATCACCTCCGATGTCTGTTAAGGCGAGAGCACAGACCACTACATTTCTATACACAATTCTACGCATGAAGATTGGGTTCGCATAGGCGCGTACTCCGTGAATAAACGTTTAAATATACGGACGAATGTATGGACTATAAAATATTGCGTAGTGATAAGAACTCGCATGTTACAGACGTGACATAACTCGACTCATGCATCAGTAAAGCAACCCGCCATATACATAAAGAGACTTTCCAGTGCCCTTGTGCACACAAGTATGTTTATATGTGTGTGTACAATAGTTTTAAAAAAATGAAAAAAGACATACAAAATGGCATAGCCTGCTTCTAAATAAACATATTTGAAAATGGAGAAGTTTGCTGTTGGAGTGCTCATATATTCTCTCTAGTAGAGAGTGACCTTTTTAACTATAGCACAAAAAATATATATAGTTTGTTATGCTATCAATTTTTTAGAACAAACTGTATACATACCTTAACTGTACGCCTCTGGTCTTCTGGCTTCAGGCTGCAGCTTTCACGAGACTTCAGTCTTCAGACCTTAATACACTGTTTACAAAAAAAGTCAAATACTCGTATATATTTCAATAAAGGCTATGAAATTCAAATACAGCCATGACCCTCTAGAAAGAGAAGAAGACTTATTAATAAAATATAGGGGATCGAACTTACGTTCGAAGGACATACAGCTTCACTCGTCTGCCTCACGACCCTCGCCGCTCTATCACTCATCAGTCATCCCAGACAGTCAACCACAAGAAGGTCCAAAGCCCAAACTGGCACCAAACTGGCAACTTGGCAGGTGGCAAACCTAGTTCTTTTATCGCCCGGCGGGGCCAATAGTTGCCTCAGCAGTTTCAAAGCAACTATTCAAAACAGTCGATACTGTATGTACTGAGCATCCGAGATACACATGCTATCGACATACTTCTTAAGCCTAACAACTAAGAATAAATACTTCTTAAGCCTAACAACTAAGACTAAATACTTCTTAAGCCTAACAACTAAGACTAAATACTTCTTAAGCCTAACCACTAAGACTAAATACTTCTTAAGACTAACAACTAAGACTAAATACTTCTTAAGCCTAACAACTAAGGCTAAATACTTCTTAAGCCTAACAACTAAGGCTAAATACTTCTTAAGCCTAACTACTAAGACTAAATACTTCTTAAGCCTAACAACTAAAACTAAAAGCTTAACAACTAAGACTATATACATCTTAAGCCTAACAATTAATTTTATATAT